TGGGCAGCCTGGGGACCAGAAGGGAGGTGTTGAGGCTGCTGTTGGCCTGGGGACCAAAGGGGAGTGGTGTTGAAGCCTCAGGTGGCCTGGGGACTAAAGGAAGGAGTGTTGAAGCCGTAGGTGGCCTTGGGTCTGCAGCGAGGGGAAATGGGTGGGGCAGAAAGGGAAGTTGAAGCCTCAGGTGGCCAGAACTATGTTGGGGGCAAGTTGCCACTGAGGCTGAGGCCACATCATGGGCAGATGGCAATTCAGACCAAGAACACATGGCAGCCAGGCGAGTTGCCACCACGGCACATTCAAGACGCAGGCAGGTGGGTTGAGGACTAAGGATGTTGAAGCTGTAGGTGGCCTGTGGGGCAGAAAGGGAAGTTGAAGCCTCAGGTGGCCAGAACTATGTTGGGGGCAAGTTGCCACTGAGGCTGAGGCCACATCATGGGCAGATGGCAATTCAGACCAAGAACACATGGCAGCCAGGCGAGTTGCCACCACGGCACATTCAAGACGCAGGCAGGTGGGTTGAGGACTAAGGATGTTGAAGCTGTAGGTGGCCTGGGAACCGGAGGGGAGTGGTGAAGCTGCGGGAGGCCTGGGAATCAAAGGGGGGAGATATTGAAGCCACAGGCAGCCTGGAGACCACTGGGGGGGTTGTTGCAGCCGCGGGTGGGCAAGTTGCTGCCATTGAGGGTTGAAGCCAGGGTTGGGCTATGTATTGCATAGCCTGAAAAAACTATTGCTCTTTGCATATGCATAGTGTTGACTGGGAAAACTATTGCTCTTTGACAGTTTCCTGCTTCCCCCATGTGCACTAGCCTCATATTATTCTGAGGCAGCTGAAGCCAGAGGGAGGAAAGAAGCAAAGCCATCAAAATAGTAAATTAAAAACAAATTACAGAGATCCTGACAGCAGGAAGAATTGATTCTCAGCAACTAATGGCAGTTCCTAAGAAAGCAAAGTTAGATGTTCACTCATTTCAGACTTCTTGGACAGATGAATATGGATTTGTTCAGCATAAAGATCATACTGTTTGCGCTCTATGTTGTGACAGTGTTGTTTGCTGCACATTAAGTGTCCAATGGCATTTTCAGACAAACATAAGAAATACTTCAAGAATACGGCAGACAAGGCTGAGTCAATCAAATGGGCCATCGCAAGGTATGAAAAGCAAAGCAGTGTCTTCACTAACTTTTCTGTAATTAAAAAGCAAGCCACAGAGAGGTTACAATATCGCACATTTTGTTGCAAAACATGGAAAGCCATTTCCAGACTGAGATTATATAAAAAAGAGGCTTTTTTCAGTTGTTCAGATGTTTTCTTCAATGGCTTGCTCAATAAAGATACAATCACCTCCAGAAAAAAATAGACCTGCTTTTGTCTGTGGTTCAGTGGCGAGGCACATAGGTGAAATGGCAGAAAACATTAACAAACAATAGACAATGGCATTCAAAGATACAGTGGTATTTAGTGTTGTGCTTGATGAATGTGTAGACATAAATGATGTACCATGGTTAGTAGTTCTTGTGAGATACTGTGCCTCAGACAAAGTTCGAGAAGAGCTATGCTGCTTAAAACCCATGCATGGCACAACAGGGGAAGATATAGTGAAGATGTTCGTTACTCATTTTGAGAAAAGAGGAATTGACATCACAAAAATATTTTCTGAGACAACTTATGGTGTCACTGCTATGATCCGAAAACTGAAGGGATTTGTAAGGATCATTGAGGATCACGTTGGTCACCCAACAGTAAATTTTCATTATATTATTCACCAAGAAAATTTTTGCGCCAAGATTTCTAACTCTGAGTTTAATAATATGACCACCACAGTCGTGAAGATCATGAATTTTCTTGTTGCTCAATCTGCCTTGACACATCGGCAGTTTCAAGCCTTGCTTGAGGAATGGACAGTGAATACAAGGACATTCCGCTTCATAGCAGTATTAGTTGGTTCAGTTGTGGGAGGGTTTTTGACATACTTTGTGGACTGTCTTGATACAATCAAGATCTTTTTGTCAGAAAAAGGTCAAAACTACCCCAGACAAGCTGATGACAAACGGCTCATGAAACTAATGTTTCTAACTGACGTCACCATGCATCTAAACTAACTCAACCTCTATCTGCAAGGTGTAGTCCAAACTGTTATGGGTCTTTCTGAAACATGGAAGGCATTTTTGGCAAAAACTTGCCTTTTTGGGGGGGACTTTGACACCTTAACTTTCTGCTATTTCCAACATCTTAAAGAACTACTGAAACAATGCACGGTCGGTGTTGCTCAAATTAAAATGTACATGCAAGAACTCTCATCAGAAATTTCTGTCAGATTTCAAGATTTCCAGCGTTTTGGCCTGGCGTTTTCCTTTCTAATCAAACCATAAAACTTTGCTGCCAGCGACATGGATTCAACAGTGTTTCAGTGGATGGGTGTTGAGGATTTCGAAATAAAGCTCATTGCATTCCAATGCTCAGACATACTGGGCCTCGAAGTATAGTGATCTGCACCATACACTTAAGGCTACCGAGACAGATCACGGGGTCTCTATCACGGCCTGTTGGAATTCCCTGCCTATGAAATCTGACTGATTTCAAGTGGCATTTTCACTGCTCTCAGCCTTTGGAGCTACATACCTCTATGAAAAGATATTTTCACATATGAAAACTGTTCTTTGTTCATCCTGGAGCCTGTTAACGAATGAATGCTCAGAGGCTTGTGTGCTGCTTAAAGTATTCAACTATGGGCCTGAGATCAAAGAACTGAGCAAGGCAAAGCAAAGCCAAGGATCGCACTAAAAGATAAGAGCTGCATCTTTATTTATTTATTAATAATGAAGCTGCTGCAAGTAGGACTATTATTGACTTTAAAAACTATTGCCAGCACTCAGATCCGTACATAGAGGTGAGTAAGTCAAATCTCAGCACTCCACCTCTGAAAGGTTGCTGACCCCTGAGCTAGAGCATTTCTACTAACTGCTGCAGCTCTCTCAGCATGTATAATATGCAGAGGTGTGATATCTTAGGTCAGTCCAGGGAGCCACGGGACACATCCAGGCCATCAGATCCTTCTGTCTAGCAGGGAGGCTAGCCCTCAGCCCCTCCTCCCAGTCTGTCCCTGCTTCTCCATAACCTCAGCACTAATGCCAGGGCAGCACACTCACCACACCACCTGCCCCAGTGCTCTTTGTGAAGCAGACATGGGCTGGGAAGTGATGGTTGGATATGGGGTGGGAGACCCAGGGAGGGGGACAGTAGAGGGAGCTGGATAGGAGGCAGTCAGGGGATAGGAAGTAGGCAGGGTTGAATAGCATCTGGGAGTCCCCAGGGAACAATCGGGGTGGAGAACAGAATTGGGGGTTCGATAGGATCTGGGGATTTGGAGAGGTAGGCAGGACCAGGGGCCAGAAAATGCCTGGCTGTTTGGTGAAGCACAGGGTTCCCCGGCCTTCCCTGCCCAGCACTCCGTACAATGTCTGAGCCCCAATGTGTCCCTCTGGCCAAAAAGTTTGCCCACCCCTGCCTCAGACAGATAAAAATGGACTGGGGCCTATGTAAATCATGGGCAACTCTGATTAAATGATTGCTAGTGCAGATATATTTCAGTGATACCACCCAGTCAAAAAGTGAGTTGCAACATTTTGCACCTGTTTCAGTTTCTGAATGGTTTTAAGATGTAACCCCCAAGAAACTACATTACAATAATTGTTAGGTAACAAATGCATTGTAATGGGCTCCGCCTAGGAGAGTCTTGCAGTCTCTCTACCCTGTTGCATGAGAGGAAGTATCTGGTATATTGCCTGCAACCAGACTTCTTCTTACCCCCTGTTATGGCTGCTGAGGATTGGGGGGGACCCAAGCCCACCCACTCCTCTGTGTCCCGGCACAGGGACCATGTAAATAGCAGTTACCAGCTGAGCGTCAAAGAGGTCAGTTGCTGTCATATTCCCTGGGCCACTTCCCCAGAAAGCTGCTCTGTCCAGCCCTTTCTCTTGGTCCTTGTGGTCAAGTCCTCCCTGTCTGGGGTTCTGCAAAGAGTTGTTGTTGGCTTACTGGCTAGTCTTTGCCGCTGGACCTGGTTCTGATGAGGTCTGCAGTCCAGCTCCCACTCAGAGCTGTCCAGAATGCTGCTGTTCTCCCAGTCAGCTAGGTCTGCCTGGGTTGAACTCCAGCAAGGAACTGACAGTCCCTCTCTCAGCAGCTTCTTTTATAAAGGCCTGCTGCACCATGATTGGCCTCAGCAGGGGCTGCCACTCTATTCTGCTTGAAGGACCTCTCTTCTGCTCCTGTCGCTGGGGCAGGGTACGGCCAGGCCTCCAAGCAGCTATGTTGGGGCCTAGTCCACCCCATCACAGGCATAACAGCACCAATATCTGTATCCAGACAAAACTGTAAGCCCCTGACCAGGTATAGCTGATAAAAAGCTGGTTACTGATCTAATAGTAGCAGGATGTGTGAAATATTTAAACAAAAAAGTGACTGATTCTTCAAGGGAAACAGTCAAACTGACTATACATAAAGAACTGTTAAATGCACAAAATAAACTAAGGGAAGAAAACATATTGTCTAATTATTTTTAATTATAATAATAGCAGGCGCTGTTTTAATCACAGGAAATAAACATTTGAGACCAATGCAACATTTAGCTAGAGGGTGCAATTTAATATTTGAATCTGTGCTGAAAAATTACTAATATATTTACCAGAAGGAGCATTAACAATTAAGATATAAATACTTAACAGATGTGCTTTGGGTGGGTGTGTGGAGGGGGAAGGACTAGAATAGAAATGTTAACAGAAATAACAGTCCTGCTAGCCTTGCATGTACTCAAATGAATTAAAAGCAATGAACGTTTCTTGCAGATATTTCTAAGGCACCTATCACCTTGATATCTAAGCTCAGTGTCAATTTATATAGCATGAACAAGTTTTCCTTCAGTTGAAAGTAATGAAAGTAAAAATATTGTATTTGAAAGAATCAACCACAATAAATAAAGACATACATGCAACCTTACCTTTGGTAGAATGTGCTTCAGCAATCATCCTCAGTCTATAAGGCGGCACTGCAACAAGTTGCAAGTCATCAACTTCAACCCTGGCATAAGTGTTAAGAGCTTCTTTGTAATCGCCTTCCACATAGTTTAACCTGGCCATTATTAAGTTGGCTTCTTGTAAGAATTCTGGCTAGAAAAAAGAGGAATAAGATAAAAAAAAAACTATTTTTTCTGAGACAAATCACTTAAAAAAAAAGAATTATCTAAATGCTAGTAATTTTCAACATATTGTGTAAGCCTTTCAGGAAGATTTTTCATTCCTCTTTACCTTCATGTATTGGTTGTTATGTTAAACTTTAAAATTCCTGGGTGGTAAGGGTATGTTATTTAAATAGCTGCATATCACCTGGCTTATAAGAATCCTAATACAGAATCAAGGGTGTTTAGATAATGCAGATCTGAAATAATATGTATTTCCCAATAAAATGACTGGTAATAACATATATACCCACACGTCACTTTTATTTTTTATAATTAAGCAGTTGCTTTCCCAACTATTGATCAGCTGTGTCAGTTTAATTTGCTTCATTTTTTTGCAATGTCTTGAAGAAGGACTTGAAAAAGGAATTCAAAGAAAGAAAGACTGGTACCCTCAGAAACGAGTTTAAGGAGGGCATAGAAAAAAATCTCTAAGTTAGCAATGGAAGCTGAGAAAGTACTGAAACTAGTACTGCTATACAGTAGTATATAAATATGTATAGACAGCATTGTGAAGTCCCTGGAAGGGAGGATATATATATTCTACATCCAACCCTAATGCAGTTTGATGATGAATATCCAAAGGTGGGCCAGAATGGTCTCCAAGTAGAATCAAGGCTAAAATGTCCTGGATGGTTTTCCTTCAAGTATGGACAATTTGAAGTTTCACTATAATACCGAATATTTACACTGATTTTTATAGACAGCATTGTGAAGTCCCTGGAAGGGAGGATATATATATTCTACATCCAACCCTAATGCAGTTTGATGATGAATATCCAAAGGTGGGCCAGAATGGTCTCCAAGTAGAATCAAGGCTAAAATGTCCTGGATGGTTTTCCTTCAAGTATGGACAATTTGAAGTTTCACTATAATACCGAATATTTACACTGATTTTGTTTTCTTAATAGAAGATTTTTATTGGGGTATGGGTGTTGTGAGGTTATTTTAGTAATGTTTGTGTCACACTTTGACATAATCAAATGTAAGGTGGTATGGGACTGCAAAGTATTATTATTTCTTGAAGTGCATTATATGTGTTAATGTGAATAAGCTGTTCATAAGACATCCCTGAAGTCAATGACAGCTTTCTTTTAAATGTTATCTTTCACTATTAGAATGAAAAAATAGCATGAACAAAAATCCATAAGCAAATTAAAGGTATCAAACTGCAAAATCCTGAAGTTATTCTGAAAGTAATAAAACTGCTTACCAAGAACTCTGTTACCAGAGAATTCTCTGAGCTCTCAGAAGTGTTCATAAAACATTTCTTTCCAATTAAATTCCAGTTATAACCGTAATTTTCTACCCCCGATCCAGACTTCTGTGAATACCTTTAAGTTTCCTCTGTCAAGTGCTGCAGTAAGATGTTTCCTGACCTCTGTCAGCTTTGGCCGGGGACCCCGGGGACTAGAGCCTTGTTTTAAAGGATTTTCCTTCAAAAACTGTTCTAGTTTGGACTCCCCAAGGAGAAGTTCTGCCATATCATCTATAAAGAGAAAAAGAATGTCAAAGGGAAAAGTTTTCACAACAGTCATAGCCATGCTATTCAACTGACATTTCACACAGATTACAAGAGGAAGCACACCACAGTGGAGGTAATTATTTTTAGATCTGAACTTTAAATGCAGAACTCATTGTAAAGATACATTAAAGGCTTATGACCCAGATTTAACATAGTTTTATAAAAGTAGTGATTATTTTATTTTCAATTTATAATTTAAATATCTGTAGTAGCACCTGTAAATGCGCTATTGGCGCATTATAGTCAAAGATTAAGACAAACCTACTTCCCATTAATTGGGATCTAATAACCTACAACCCTCTGTTTTTTTAACTAAAAAAATCCTTCACAAAAGGTGCAACTCTCAGGGCTTTCTGAATATGGCAGACTCAGTGTTTGGTGATTTTCTGGAGTTAGAGAATTCTAGAGGAAAGCATCTGCTACCAAGAATGCCCTACCCCAAATCTCACAGGCATCATACTTGAAGTAGGTTAAGATTTCCATTTGAACACAGATAGGTTATGGGATAGTTCAGAGAAGGAAATGATAGAATTCCCAGATATTTAGGTCATTACAGATGGTGACCAGCTATTTTGATGTAGAAGTTAACAAGCAGCCAGCACTAGCACCTCCATCTTGGATGAATGAGTTCCAACTGGTTTTCCAATTTTTTCCAAACTTTGAAAAAACAAGGAAATTGCTCCATCTGGGCATGATAATAAGGTGAAAGAGCTCCTCAGTCATCAGGAGATTGATAGCATTTATTAGCTTCCCAGGTGTCTTCACCTACACGTTAAACAAAAGAGGTAAGAAGACTGGGCCTTATGATTCGTATACCATTCTAAAAGGTTCTTTCCAACCTTGCTAGGTTGTGCAAACCCATCAACAGCACCTCATATCTGACATTATTAAGGCTGCTGAAAAAAAATCTATCTGGATTAGCACATTAGACCTGTGTACATTGCCACTACAAATTCAGAGTGAGTAATACAGTTTATCATATCCTTAAATGTGACAGGCAGGTAAAGGACAAAATATGGCCTGTCAGAAGCTGCAACAACTCTGGACTATCTTTCAATCCATATATCAATGGTATACAGTTCCCATTTAAAACACACAAAAATACTACTTTTGCTCAATTACGTATTCAAATACATTTCAATAAAGATAAACATATTCTCTTACCAACTTGTAGAGTACCTACTCTATCAAAAATTAGTAAATATTGAGTTGTTGGCTCACCAATGTACTGAACAGGCAAGCTTCACTATTCTGTAGGAATCAACAATATGGGGAAATGGCTTGCATTAAAACTATTCCAATACTGAAATTTGTAGATGCTTTTGTCTAAGTATACACACTGATATCTGATTATTTACTCCTAGAACAATGAGCCCAAAGTTCTCAGTAGTGTTTTCATTTCACAGTGCGAGTGACACTATATTTTAGGTTTAGTTAGATTAACAAGTTACACTAGAGTTCTGAAAAAGAGACAGTATTTTCCACTTACATCTTTTTTAAAATAGGCTAGAAAAGACTTTCAGTACAATGTATTCACCAGAGCTGTTACAACCACATTAATCACCTCATGCACTGAATTTGATAACCTTGAATTAAATGTTTCAATTCTTAAATAAGCCTAGAATGAAAAGGTCTCATAGTAAAGATCTTCTGATATAGTAAAAAGACAAGGAACCCATTGTTAACCAGTGCAGAAAACTGGTAGCTTAATGAGGCTTTTAGAATTTGCTTCATGGCTCATAAGCACTGAACACTTTTATGAAATTCACAAGGCTAAGTAAGGCTTACAAAGTCCTCCTTGTGTTTATAAAACAAGGAAATCTTTTACAGTGGTATTCATTTTCTGTAATTATCAAGATATTTTTATGTGATTTCAATAACTTTAATCGTAAACAAAAAGGTCATTACACCTTTTCAAAAGCAGACTCTCCCAAATTAGGGCATCAGTTGCAAAGTCTGAAAAATTCTTATACAATAAATATTTACCTGTAAAGTATCTGAAGAAATAAAGGTAGGGAAAACCAATATGCTCACAAACAATACTCAGAAAGTGATCTTGAATCACTGATCCAATAAATATTCCACAGAAAACAATTCATATCATAGACTAGGGATGTTAAGAGATGGGTAATTCACTACTCCTGTAGTCAACAGAATTGGCATTGACTACACGATTCGCCAATAAGGGAAGAAGTGCTCAGTCCCGGCTCGCACCAGGTCTGGAAGCTACTCCTCCTATGGCTCTGCAGTTTAAATGTATGTAGAGGCACACACAGGCAGCCTGGCTCTTAGTACACTGAAACTGCAGAGCCACAGCAGAGGTAGGTCCCAGACCTGGCATGAGCCAGGACTGAGCTTGGCTGCCTGCCCAGCTGGAGCAGCCTCTGTCCACGGCCAGCCCGGGCCAAGGTCTGCCATGGGCACCCCAAGCCTGGGTCCAACGCGGGCAGAGGCTGCTTCATAGCAGCCTCCTCTCCCCCCACACATTGCTGCCTAGAGGAAACAGCGCGGGGTGGGGGGAGCTGGCTTACAAGCCAGCTCCTGCTTCCCCCACCCTTTGCTGCCTGATTCCCCCACCGCTTGATGGCTTAAACTGTAATAGAATCATGAATGGTTAACTGGTGAGCGGCAGCAGACTCCTGCCTCTTCCAGCCCTGCAGGGCGCCTACCATGGATGGGAGGCACTGCAACCTGGCTGGAATAGCCTCCATCTTGGTGGGCCTGGCCTGGCCAGAGTAGCCCCCACCCACCGTGGGGAAGGTGGGGAGGTGTTCCAGCTCAGCCACAGTGGAGCAGCTCCAGCCCTGCCAGTCCATAAGATAACAATGTTTAACTGGTTAACTGATAAACAGGATTTTACATCCCAAAATTATAATGGCCTAGATAAGTATAAACAAAGTACTCTCAAAATATTTGGGATACAAAAGAAGAGATTAGTATGTAACACCATAGGGCACACTTCATTTTACAGTGTGATGGGTATATCCTCATTTCACATATCATTAAAATAAACATTCCAATATCAATATGAAAATCAGGTACCAGCACCTGAATTATAAAGTTACAAGAGATTGTGTTTAGAGGCTTTTCCAGTACTTTCCCTGAGTAACCGCCCTATTCAAAGGAAATAAGACATAATACACTGCATACGAATTAAGAAATAATTTTGTTGGCATAGTAACATGTATGCTTTCACACAATTGCCAATGTGAGGAATTTAATAAGAGAAGTGTGAAAATTTTCTCTTATGCAAGAAGAGGAAACCAGAACAGTCAGCCATGAGCTTACAATAAAACTGCACTTCAGACAAGTTCATTGGCCTCCCAGGTTTTTCCATCTACCTTTCAGAAGAAAGATTACTGAGTATATGTCGACACTGCAATTAAACAGCTATGCCTGACACATAGGAGCTGACTCTAGCATCAAGGCCCAGGCTATGAGATGATGAAATTATGATATAGACTTTTAAGCTAAAGCTGAAGTACAAGGGAGAAGGCTATTTTTATCAGTGACCTAAAAGTAAACAAAATCACTGCTAATAAATTTTGCAGATGACACAGGCCTGCAAAAAGGTAAATATTGATGAGAATAAGTCAATCACAGAGAACAATCTGAATTGTTTGGTAAGCAGGGCCCCTCTGAGCAAAATACACTTTAGCATCACCATATACTGTCAGGCACTGTTCCGATAATCAGGCAATTCAGTTGGTCAGGCATGACTTGCCCTTGGTGAATCCAAATTGACTGTTCTTAATCACCTTCCTCTCCTCCAAGTATTTCAAAATACTAGTTAATAAGCTTATTTTAATCTTTTATTCTTTTACCAATGAGATGTCTAAAGTGTTTGAAGAATCTGTTCAGATTACCAAGGCTGGTGAACGTCCACTATCCATTGGTGACATAGCAAACTAATGAACTTGAATTATTCAAAAAGATTTTGACCAGCATATGACACTACATTTCTGGTATGCAAAGCTGGTGCAATGTATGACTGTTTCTCTGAATGTAGTTAATGAATGATTTAG